GAACCGACTCGATGGCACATAACAACAACAACAAGTCAGAACTGGCTCAACAGCACACAACAACATGTCTCCACAAAAATCGTGTGAACCATTTCCTTGATGTCCCATGAGTTCAGTGAGATGTTGCACTGAGCTGTGGAACCCTGGGACTTGGGGGTGGGGGATGCTGAGAGAGTAGTAAGGGTTGATATTAGAGATTATGAATGTCTTTAACCTGTACTTCATAGGAGCCGGCCTTGCGTTGATCCTTCTAAAAGGAATTATTGCAGTAATCAGGGTCAGTGAACACTGTGTGTAGAAATTGTTGAATGGGAACCTAAATTGCTGGGTAAACCACCACCAAAAACACAATATCCTGAAAGAGAGAAAGTGGTGGGGCTCTTGTTCACAGGACCCAGGATACGTTGCCCCCCATCACTGAAGGAATGTGCTCCCTGCAGTGAAACGGTTCCTAAACATCACCTCACTGGCCTCCCTGTTCTCCACAAAGCTGCCAGTTCCCACTCTTTGTTAGACATTTCTCCCATGGTTCCCTGCTGCCTGGAACCAGATGGCCTTCACAAGACACCAGGGTGACCTCATGGTCACCACTGCTGCTCCCCCCTCACATTTGCAGTTCAGTATTTCTAATCTACGTGCACACCCCACACTGGATTCTGTCCTGGGTACCTATTGTTCCTTTCTCAGTACAGGTGTGTTTCTTGGCCACCACCTACTTGTCTCCAGGTAGGAGCTTTGATATCACTTCCTCCTGGCTAACTGCCCTTGCCCCATCTCTTGGCACTTTAGTATATTCTGTCTATGCCTCAGTTTTCTCACGTGGACATCAGAAGTCATAATAGTATCTACCACACTGGTGAACTGGATTAATATAAGTGCTTAGAATAGTACTTGGTATGTTCTAAGTCCTATGGGACTGGTAGTGATGGTGTGCCGTGGAGTCGGTTCTGTCCCACAGTGGCCAAGACTGTAAATCTTTACGGGAGGAGAAAGCCTCATTTTAATCGGGTTGGCAGTCTGATTCCTAACCACTACTCATCAGAGCGCTATTTGCTATTATTATTGCTAAAGTCCTGGTGTGGCGTGGTAGGATAAGCCCTTGACTGCTGTCTATGAGGTTGGTGGTTTGAAACCCATCAGCTGTTCCTTGGGAATCCCACAGAGGGTTTCTATGAGTTGGAACTGACTTGACAGCACTTAACAACAGAAGTTACATTATTGTTACTACTAGTTATTTGCTTACAAACTTTGAGGGTAGTTTATGCTTGTCTTCTACTGAATATTCAGAGCTGAGTACAGAGCTTGGTGAACAGTAGGTGCTCAAACACTGTGGAAGAAGAGAAAATGGGTGAAATCCTGGTCTAGGAGAAGACAGAGGTCACTGGTAGCAGGGGTACAGAGAACCCCAGGTTTATCTCTAAGAGAGATGACTTAGTTACTTCTGCAAAATTTCCTAAAAGTAGAGGACAGCTTCCCACAATAAGGAATCACCAGAGTAAATCAAGGAGATCTCCAATTTACAAAATATTTAAGTTACAACGAACTGAACTTAGATTGCCAGAGGTGTTTTTTTTTTTTTAAAAAAATGATTTGTGTATTTTAAAAAATGTATGTAAGGAGTCCTGGTGTGGTGCTGTAGGATAAGCACTGGACTGCTAATCACAAAGTCGGTGGCTCAAACCCACCAGCGGCTCCTTGGGAACTCTATACAGGAGGCTGTAAGTTGGAACTGACTTAACGGCACTTAACAATAACAACATATACGTACTAAAGTAGATCTGTTAATTTATACGTAATGTTTCCAACCACCAAAGACAAAGATAGGCCTTATAAAGATACTGATAATAAAATCAATAGTAATGAAAACGAGCATAGTGGTTACGAATCGGGTTGTTAACCGCAAGGTCAGCAGTTCGAAACTACCAGCTGTTCCGCAGGAGAAAGATAAGGCTTTCTGCTCCTGTAAAGATTTCCAGCCTCGGAAACCCTATACGGGATGCTATGAGTCAGAATCGACTTCACAGCACATAACCAACCAATAATGAAAAGTAAAATACAAACCTGAGGTATCCGCCTTAGGTCAACATCGACTTACCGTGGGGCTGTGGGGAGAGAACCCTATTATTAAGTGTACCTGTAGTGCTGAGATGACAGAGAAACTCTGGTTTATCCCAGTGTCTGACACAGGTGTGTCTGTCGTTAGGAGTGTTTGGATGAGGTGTGGGGGTTGGAGGCAAGTTAGACTAAGCAGCATGGACAGCAGTGAATGCTTTGGTCAGGGCTGTGTCCTTTGAAGGGATTTGGTACATATTTTCAAATTGCTACATTTTTCTTTTTGTTCCTAGTGGCACTGTAAGATAAGCACTGGACTGCGATCCACAAGATCAGCAGTTCAAACACCAATTGATCCTCAGAAGCCCTATACAGGATCTCTAAGAATGTGAATCAACTCAAGGGCACTTATCAACAAGCACAATGCATGGAAGGTTTGGAGACTAGGGAGGAGGGAAGGCTCACAGCAGAGCCTCAGGAGGAAACAGTTAAGGTGGGAACCTATAGGTAAAGTCCCCGTTATGCCCACAAGGCCACCTTCTCTGCGGTCTCACCTGAGGGAGGTCAGCCTGCAGTCTGAGTAGAGAGGGCCAACACTAGTGTTCTTGAACAAGGGGCCAAGCTGAAAAACAGGAGTGAGCAATGAGGAGGTGGTCCAGGGAGACAGGGGTGGAGCTAGGCTAAGGTGGGCGAGGCGGACACCAGTGGGTGGAGCAAAGTTGAGGCGGGCAGAGAGGTCATGAGCTGGGAATTGGGGTGATGGGAATGGGCAGAACTTAACTCAGTGGGTAGGGGCAGGAGAAGGGTGGGTGGGGCTGGAATGAGTGGCGGGCCGGGTGGTGGTAGGCAGGACTCTCACCAGGCTCTGCAGGAGCTTCTCAGTGGTGTTGAACTTCAAGGAACCAGGAAGACTCATGTCCTCCAGGTATCGCAGGTTGGTGATGGTGAAGTTGAGGGTGAATGGCACCAGGATGGGGACTGGGGCTACAGAGACAGAGGAAGAGAAGAAGTCATCTCACCCTGAGTCAGGCCTGTACAGATCTGGTGAGGAAGGGGGCTGAGACTCTCCACCCACATCTGTGATGGCCTGTGCAAGGAATGGGGATGGCTCTTTCCAGAACGGGAAACTTGCTTTTGAAAAATGCTAGTAATAGTAGTGACAATGACAATAACAATAACAACAACAACAAAACAGCAGCAAGAACAGCTTGGATTTGGCTAAAGCTTCCTCTGAGCTCAACAGTACCTCCTTTAATCCTCACAACAATCCCAAGAGATGAGTCCTAGTACTTAGTTCGAATTTACAGAGGATGAAAGTGAGTGTCAGAGAGGGTGAGTCACTGCCCTAAGCAGTTCTAAGGCAGAAATCCAGGCTATGGAGTTGGAAAGAATTACGATTGAATCCTGGCCATTTGCTGGCTGATAGGTGGTACTGGTAGTGTGCCGTGGAGTCGGTTCCGATTCACAGCGACCCTGTACAA